ATGCTTACGAAAGCACTGGGAACGAAGTCGCTAGCGTTCCTTCGCGAAGCAAGTATCATCAAGAAGAGGAACGACGTGCAGTAGCGGTGAGTGGGAGTGTTGATATGCACCGACTCTGCACGGTTCGGCTAACCGGTGTGACGTTCCAAAATGGACCGGTCCCAAACCGGTTAATCTGGTGGATGACCAGGAGCACTGAAGTTTAGAGGACAGATTTAATTGACTTTAATCTACTCACTTCGGCATTTGCCTTTAACAACAACAACACGGCTCACCGCAATGCTAGCTGCTGTGAAGAATGACGGCCACAACGCACCTCTTGCATGTAAGCTGCTTGAGTAATAATTCAAGGCGAAGTACGACCTCGACATTGCTTCGGTGACCCAATTTACTATGTCGGATACTACGCCATCTGCGATGAATGCGGTGGATTACATTGACACGGAGCAAGTGGCCTACTCTATGGTTTTACTGAACGACCTGTGCATCGGTTATGCCATTGAACGGAAGGACAATATCCAGATGGTGAATGTTTGGAATGCATCTACCACGTCGTTGGACAAAGTAGTCACAGCTGACACGCCTAGAGGAACCTTCGATGAAGATAATGCCGTTATCCAGAACCTCCGCAAGCTGAAGAGCCATTTAGGTCCAAGCAGCGAAACACGTTGAAGAAGATCCAAGAGGCGCTCTCATACCCTGAGCTTGAGCCGTTGACGGACGAAAACGTAAGAGTCGCGTATACCTGTCAGCCAATACGTCGCCTACTTGTCAGCGATGCAGCAGTCAACAAGAGACTCGAATAGTTTCTGGACCGCGCTGACGGCAAAGAATTGGATGCTAGCTGTGGAAATCGAGATGGTAACCAGATTCATCGTCAACCTTGCTCTGGTAGAAGCAGATAGTTTGAATCTGGTCCCTTCGTACATGGTAGGTTTCGACGACTCGCAGAAGGACTACGGCATTTCAATTTGGAGGCCATGGCGGATGCACTCAAACGATGCTATGGAGGCGAGACATCGACACGTCGCATGGACCCTAGACCAATTTTAGGGTGTTGGTAAGACGTGTCTGAAGCGAGCGCTGCTTAGGTTGCAGGCGCGTTTTTCCAAAGTCACAAAGAAGTCTCTGACGTGAGTATTGTTTGACCCTCGAGCCAAGTCAAGTGCCAAAATAGCCGCGGTCGGTAATACCCCTCGGAAGGGAAGAAACCCATGTACAAGAGCACAGTGGACTACGTGCAAAACGAAAACCGGAAATGGTTTTCACAGAAGACGATGCATGGCAAATTCCATGTCATAAAGTCCCACAGTAGTCTACTTAGTCAAGCGTCGATATCTCCGTTTTCTTCTTCGTCGTCCACAAGTGTGGGGACGAAGATGAGCCGGTGCTGGGAGCCCCCATTCGTGCTAACAAGACAAGAGATGAAGTGAAGGGGTCACATATGAGCGCAAGAGCGGATGCTGTCATGAAAGAGTGGATCGAGCTGGAGCCTGAGTGGCTGGACATTGCCGGGCAAGAAAAAAGAAGACATATCCAAAGACATGATGACGGATGCACACAATGGAATGTACTTGGCCCTTTGGAGCCTCTACATTTACATAGATGTGCTGAAGTGGTTCCGTGAAGAAGGCGAGACAAAGTGTTCCTCCATCGATTATTCGCTCGCATCCAACTCGGAAACATGTTGTCATCTGCGTTCTAGGAGCGAGTATATTCTACGGGAGGAATAGTCATGACCCAGAACCAGAACATACAACAGACGAGCGGAAAAGCAGCAGCTTCTGCGGCACAAAGAGATGAAATTGCGAAGATGAAGCAAAAGGCGCACAAGGGGGTCAAGTCGTAATGTGTGGCTAGTAGATAGTAGTTTGGGTAATATTGCCAATATTACTACCACTTCAACGCCACTAACGTATTTTTACTAATACTTCTCCGGTCCGAAAAAGAAATACCAGCTAGGTTTCTATAAAAAGAACTCGCGTGTGTGATTGATCAATGTCCATTCTGAGATGGGTACGATTGGTTAAAATGAGTTCGTATGAGGATTTGTATGTACACGGATTGAGAGTAATTGACACGAAAATGGATACATAGCTTTTAGTTATATACCACTAAATTAAGCTCCGTTTTTGCTTTTTCTAGTATATTTTGGAGTTTAATTCTGGTTCGCTTTGACGTCAAAAACTATCATTTGATAGTTCAAAAGGTCAAATATCGGCAAAATTGGCGGGAAATTTGCTCATAAAAAATTGTGCGGACGCTACGTAAGTAGAGCTTTCAAACTAGCTGAACCGCGCTTTCGTTGGAGCTGTACGACCGAAGTTATCGCCAATTTAAAGAACTACAAGCATAGGGTCCCTTCGATGATTTCATTTTGCCCAAAGTTAAGAGTACTCCTAGTCCAAATAATGCCCTCTGCTACAATTTGATTGAGCAAAATGAATCTATGCTGGGTCCTCGTACTCCAACTTCACACTACAACGACACTGCAGCGTTTTAGTATTAGAATCGGCACCAAGCAAGAAGCGATCACCTGGATAGACACGAACAAAGAGGGAAATGAGCTTATTTCGATAACCTGGACATGACCTTGGACGCTTATACAGTACGCAAGTGATGGCATAACCGGATGAGATCATAGTCGAACGGAGCGGAAGAAAGCAATCGATCGGTGCTAAAATGTAGCAGGTGCGTAGTAGGAAGAAACATGGAAAGTGAGATTAGTGAGTGACCGTTCGGCCGTCTATCCTTCCTATCCCTACCCACGTATGCCATCCGAGACCTCAAGCTGGTCGGCGCATCCCCCAAATCCTGGCGCTAGATCCCTTGGATTTCTACACTCCTCCTCGCCACCAGCGTTGATCTGCTGCACGCCTTAGTGCAGACCGACGACCGTCCGTAACTCCGCCAGTCTTGGCGCCTCCTGGAGCCTTCGTGAGGATGTCCGCGGGCATCTCCTCACTATGCAGGTACTCCGGCTTTCGCACGCCGCTCTTCGTGTAGGAGCTCACGAACTTTATCCTGACGTCGATGTGCTTGGCCTTGGAGGACGAACCTTCGCCGTCGAGCTGCTTGAGCGCAGCCTGGTTGTCGACACGCAGAGACATCGGGCTGTTGAACGCGACGCTTAGCTCACCGAACAACTCGCACATCCCCCAGCAACTCGGTGCCCATCACCGACGCAGCCGTATACTTCGCCTCCAGGGTGGAGAGGCTGACGCCAGTCTTCTTTCGGCAGATATGGGACACGAGTATCCCGTCGACAGAGAGCAGTCCGCCCATGACGAGCTTCCTGTCGGACTTGGCGGCAGCGAAGTCCGCGTCGCTGTACGCGACAGCGTTCAGCGGCGCCTCCAGTGGGAAATTGCCCTTCATGCTCAACCGCAATGTCTTTGTTCCCGCGATATAACGCGCGATCCGCTTCTTTAGCTTCCAGTCCGACATCATGGGGCTGTGTGTGCGGCGCAACACCTTGTGGACCGCGTACGCGATGTCGGGGCGCGTGCACCGCGCCACCCACATGAGTCTGCCCACGAGGGACTGAAACTTGCGGATCGTGATCTCGTTGTCGCCACCGGTGAGAGGCAGCAGTACGTCCGCGGTCTCGTCGACGTCGTTGGTCTCTACCCCAATGGGCGTGCGCACGCCGTGCACGGACGCCATGCAGTGTTCGCGCAGCATCTCCTCGATCGCGAGATCTTGGTCCTGATCGTAGCCCGCCTCCTCGTCGTAGACCACGCACATGACCAGGAACTTGCTGGCGGGGCCCAAGTCCTTGATCTTGAGCACGCTGACTCGCTGAAGAAAGCGTCGACGGCCTTCTGCTGCGTGCCCGTGACCAGGAGGTCGTCGACATACACACAGACCACCAGCAGGGTGCCTTCGCAGGATCTATAGTAGACGCACATGTCCGTGAGACTCTGCAAGAAGCCGATGTCCATCAGCGTCTAGTGAAGGAGCTGATTACAGCGGCGTCCGGGTTGCTTGAGGCCGACCAACACCTTCTTCAACTCCAGCACCAGCTCGTGGTCGCTGGACACGCCGAGTAAGCGCCTCCGCTCCTTCGGGATGCGTAGGTATATGCCCAGCTCCGGCTCCTTCACCGCCTTCACGTAAGCGTTTGGCACGTCACCGTGCATCGCGGGGACGCGCCACTTGCTCGCGATCCCAATGATCAGCTTCACGCTGCTCATCTCGATGACAGCGGCGAATATCACGCTGTTGTCGATCCCGAACTGCAGCTCGCTCCCACAGGCGACGAGGCGCGCCTTCGGTCGCTCGATGGCGCCCTCCGCGTCCACCTTTGTCTTGAAGACCCACTTAGTATTTAGCACATGGCAGCCCTCGGGATTGCGCACGTTGCGCCATATGCCGTTGTCATCGAGCGCGTGCCGTTCGTCGGCCATCGCAGCAAGCCACTTGTCCTTGTGCTTGGTGCGCATTGCCTCCTGGTACGACTTCGGGCCGTACTCGACCACGCTGTTCACGACGTTGCGCGTAGCCTCCTGCGACTGCGCGGTCTCGTTCGCCGCGCCCTGGCTTTCTTGAACACGAAGCGCGTCACGAGGCGCCCGCGCGACCACGGCGTCTTATTCTTGGTCGACGTGCGCTTCTTCTTGCCTTTTGCGTTCGTGGCCCCAGCCGCCGGCACTTGAGCTCCGTTGTCCGCCGCCTCGTCGCCCTGAAGGTACAACCGCTGCACCTGTAAGTTTTGCTCCATGTCGAGTGTTTCAATGTTCTCAATGCTCTCGACGTGCTGCGCCGTGACCACCACGCGGTCTTTGGGCAAGTAGACCCGGAAGCCCTTGGTCTCCTCGCCGATGCCCACAGTTATGGCCGTCTGCGCGCGCTGCGCGAAGTTCTTCCTGCGTGGACCCCGGTACACAGCGCATGGCGACCCGAACACCACGATCTCGCCGAGCGGCGGTGTCTTGCCCGTCAGGACCTTCAGCGGTGACACACGCCCTGGTTTGGGGTTGGTCGGGGCGCTTTTCAGGATGTACGCGGCGTACTGAGCCGCGTCACCCCAGAACCTCAGCGGGAGCCCACAGGCGAATGTCATGCACCGCACCATGTTCATGATGGTGCGGTGCATGCGCTCCGCCTTGCCGTTGCTTGTTGGTTGCACGCCTCGCTGCGCTGCGCTGCCTGACCACGCCGTTCGCTTGCAGAACAAGTCCACGTTCTCGTACTCGCCTTCGGAGTCGGTGCGGAGAACGTGGATCTTGCAGTTGAGCTCCTTCTCGAGGTAGACGAGGAAAAGTTCGAAGAGCATGGACGCGGTGTTCTTGGTAAGCGCCATGAGCACACGGCAGTAGTTGGACTTGACGGCAATGAAGTTGATCTTTGTAGCGGTTGTCCAACCGATCCTTGGGGGTCATCGGCCCCTTCAAATTGGATCAGATGACCCCACCCGGGCGAGTGTGCGCCGATGTCCTTCTTGGACCGCCGGTTCTACGTCTGCTTGCCCTCGGCTCATGTGAGACAATTGACGCGCTTGTGGTCGGTCTGGTGGATGCCCGAGCTTGGGACCTTGGCGAGCAGCTCCACCGCGTCATAGTTGAGGTAGACCAGACGCTTGTGGAAATCTAGCAATGTTCCCTGCTGCACGTCCCCCGACACCTCTGCAGACTCCGTGAGCTGCTGGCCTAACACAGCCAAATCACGTCCGATGGCAGCTCGCGCCTCTGACCAAGACGTTGCTCTGTATCTCGACGTCAAACGCCACGCGCTCGCTGTCCTTGGCCGCCACGACACGTCGCCCGGCACGCTGGGTCAGCTCGAAGCCTTGCCTGTCAATCATCCCGTAAGCGATCAGGTTATGCACCACGCCCTTCACAAAGTAGACGTTAGTGAGCTCCACCATTTGCTCCTCACCGCACGCCGTGACACGCAGCATCACCTTGTCGGGCTTGGTGATGTGCAACGGCTCGCCGTTAGGTTGCTCGCACTCGTCGCTGCACTCCTCCACGTCCTCGAGGAGCGACTCGTCGTTCACAAGGTGACAGCTAGAACCACTGTCCAGGACCCAGGGGTCGGTGGTGTCACCGGTGTGCTCGCCGACGGCCAACGTGACGTCCCCCAGCTTCTTGAGGTCTGGACACGCTGCACGTAGATGTCCGACACGGCCGCACTCGTGGCAGCTCCGCGTCTCGCTGCGCTCATTGGTGTGGTCCTTCACCACGTTGACCGTCTCGACTTCTGCATGGTCGCGCTGGTCTCCCACGACTGCGCGAGGTGTGCGAGCTTCTCGGCGTGCTGCAGGAAATAGGCACGCGACTGGTCCACCTTGACCATCAACACCGTGCCTAGCTCCGCGGAGGCGTACTGGACGATGTTGTTTAGTACCGAGTAGTCAGCGCCGCTCCCCGTAGCCTCGGAGACGAGGTACATGTAGTGCTCGGACCAGGATTGCTTGGTGTCCTTCGGCGCCATGAACAACTTCATGGCTTGGGCGGGCGTAAAGTTTATCTTGAACGCGTTCAACATCCGCTCCATGACGCACTGCAACGTGGGCAGCTGGTTCCACCACGTGTCCACCTGCTTGTTGTAATACCTCTCGGCCGTACCCGACAGGTAGTGGCTGAGAAGGTCTACCTTCTCGTCCTCCGACCACGCGAAGCCGCACGCCGACTGCTCGAGCACCACCTGCCGCTCGAACCATCTGCCCCAGTCCAGGAAGCCGGAGCCCAGCCCGACGTACAGCTCCTTGCCGTCGAACGGGCGGATCGCAAGCTTCTTCTGGCGGGCGTCCGGGTATCGGAATGCCCCGCCCTGGTTCTGGGGCTGGTACTGCGCAGGAGTGGCTTGTGCTTGAGCTGGCTCCGGCGCTGCAGGTGGTTGCTGCGACTCTAGGTTAGCATGGTCGGCGTGCTCCGCCGCGAAGAGTCTCTGCAGCTCGGACATTCCCGTCTCGTAGACCACGACGTCCGCGTGGCGCTGCCTGAAATACTGCGGGTGTACTGGTGACCGGCGAGGGGCCTGCTTCTGCGGCGTGCCGCCCAAGGAGTCGATGTGCATCCTCGACCCGCGTCCCAGGGCCTACTCGAAGAGGCTCATGACCACCATGGACTTGGGATCTTGTTTGGGCGTCTCCAGGCGCTTCTCGAGCTTCACTTGGGACTTCTCCAGCTTGTCCATCCGGCCGGCGACGCCGTGGAGCAGCCTCAGCAGCTCCGACGCCTCGTCCCGTTCCGTAGGCGCCGCCACGGCATCATCTGGGTTGCCGCCTCCCCTTGCGCGGGCGGCGGCGGTGCTCTCCGTTCCATCGACGGAGGCGGCCCTTGCGCGTTTGGTCTCCATTGGTATCTGGGCTCAAAACCTGTTAAAAGGTAGCAGGTGCGTAGTAGGAAGCAGTATGGAAAGTGAGATTAGTGAGTGACCGTTCGGCCGTCTATCCTTCCCATCCTTACGCACACACGCCGTCTGAGACCTCAAGCTGGTCGGCGCATCCCCTGAATCCTGGCGGCATATCCCTTGGATTTCAACAATCGGTGGTTTGAAGGACCGCCTACTTCGTGCTATCATTTAGCGTCTCCGAAAGGTCATGCGGGAGTGGATTGCTCATAAATCAAAGAAGATATTTGAGGAGGCTATATATGAAACAGTTGGCGGTGCCTCGGGTCACCCATTCACTTCCAGTACCCAATTTAGATTTTTTATCGGGAGTTGCATCTGAAGTGTTGAACGACTTGCTCAAGACATACAGTGCGATATCCAGGGCTTCCACCTTTGCTCAATGAGCGACCCTCACCAAAATGTAGACCGCCGTATTAGCGGTACAGGTGGCTCCAGCCAGTCAGCACCGGGTCCAGAGCTCTCAGCCACCACACACACTGCAAAGGCTAACACAAACGTCTGCAACGCGATTGAGTAGCAGCAAGGCAGCTTCGAGCGTTGGATGAAGGACTTGGATATTAGTGGCCGCGTGGGTGCGACAGACGTGGATCCGACCGCCTCAACCACGTGAATCATCCTTTAAACCGACTTGGGTATTATACAATCACTCAAATAATACATATGCAGGATGACACTATAGTTGATCAGCGCCAACTGTTTCCTAATATAAAACAGCTGAACCATATTTAGGTGTCCAATTCATGGTGTCACTGGCTGGGTGACTAAGTTCATGCGCCGAAACTTACGCCGTCACACGAATCTAAGTGTCCTGTCGGACGGGTTAAAAGGAGAATTACGTTTGCGAGACACAATATACACTACCATAGTACATGTACCGTAGCCTTAAATTTAACCTTGTGAGACTCAGCACAGCCGTAGATCGCGATGGCTGGTACAGTATTGTGCCTCAATAAGAAAGCTATAAAACCTAATAACCTTTGACAATGTGTTTCAAAGCCATTTTTTAAAGTAAATTTGAAACCTCTATTAAGACAGTACCTTGAAAATTATATTCATATCAGGACTTCCTTATTGGGGCAAAATACAGTAGAGCTAGGTGTAAATAAATGTTGCATATGCGATCTGGTGATTTGTCAAATGTACCTCCGATTCCTGTTATACGATACAACGGGGTATATGAAGTACAAGCTACGCTTATTCAGGCGGACTTCTGTAGTCCGTACTAATACGGAGTCCGTAGACGAAGAATACGGCCTTGGATAGTACATGTGATGATCATGGACACTCGCTCGTGATCATCACACGCGATTTGTCATACATGTATATTGGTCTTACTCAACTGAAGACGTCCCTTACAAACGATATTCACTATTCATTTTTCCTGACAGCGCAACAAGTTCCTCTATTCAACAAACCAGAAAGCAACTTCAATGCGCAGCGCTTGCTTCATTTCCGCGGCCATCTCCTTCGTCGTGCTGCAGGTGCAGATAAAGGCGGTAACTGCTTCGTCACTCAAACGCGACCCCGTCTCATCTTGCAGCTCAACCAACCTCAGTAGCAAGCTCTTTCCTAGCCACTCTATCGACATGGAAGCTGACATGTGCTCGGTCGCGGCACTTGAAAAAATGTCGTCCCCCAGGCGTATGCTAGAGTCCATTTGGAACGACGACATCGCCAAATTGGAGGCGTTCATTGGCACTAAAATGGAGCTAAAACTGAAGAATTTGCCTCAGTCCGCTGTGTACAAGAAAACACCATGGGCCGCACCGAACTGGCCGGCTCATTTGGACAGTATCAACCATAAATGGAGCAAAAATGAACCGAGTCCTGCTGAGAAGTACGCGACGGCATTCGGTCTGGATGTGAAGTCCTTCATGGACAAGGTTTCGGCCCAGAACGGAGTCGATTCAAGAAAACGTGGCACGAAATGCACATCCAGCAAGGAATGCTTTGATCCTTAAGTCGACACCGTGTGCGCTAAACGTGCCGGTGCAACTTTGGGCTACTGTATCCCAACCTGGTATGGCATTTGCGACGCGTGGGCACCAGCCTCAATCTTTGAACAAGAGCCCAACTGTCCGGTGACTTTCAATGGGGTGACATTTCAGCCGATGGACGTGAAGGCGCTGATGACTGACGTCTATGACAACGTCAACGTTTCCGCCGTTTATGCTGGCGAGCGCTACTATGGCACCGACGACTCGATTGACGAGTATGGCAGCCACACGGACTACACGTACCGTGATCTTAACCCCGGGTTGCTTCACATTGTTGCTACGAACCTATCGGGTTTATTGAAAAAGACCTTTATCATCGATAGAGATGCCGGCGCTGAGGTCTGGAACCAACCCGTGGTGAGTTTTAAGGTGAACAAGCAAACAACTTTGACCCCCGAGAAGGCTGCTCAGAAGTTTGGCGCTCAAGAGTACTCGTGGAACAATGAATCCAAGAGTATCGTATACACCAATGCACGTCTGTCATGGATCAATGAGACGTACACGGATGGCGGTCTTGTGGCTTCAAATTTGATCAAAAAGTTCACAGTCGGAGCTACCTACGATTACCTTTTGGAGCTAGACGAAGACCAGAACATTATCGGCGGCGAGTGGCTGTATGGCTCGAACGACAACCACCCTGATTTCCTCTGGTTGCTGCAGGGAAAACCAAAACCAGACACCGTCACCAAAACTGATTTGAAATATGCAGATGTGACGATGCTGCTGGAGAAGGCGACGGCGTGCTCCAATTCGGAGCCACCACGCCTGTAGTTGGACGAAAGGAGCCCAGATATCGACCTTCCTGCCAGCACTCTGCTGAAGGCCCAACAAGCGACGGATCAAACATCTACGTAGAAAAGAAGAAAAAAAAGCCTCTATCCGTACGCTCTCGCTACAACCAACACGTACTTCGATGAAAAGTTTAGTTAACTTTTGGAATGAGACACTCAAGTTTATCAAATGGTATTCTTGCATCTGGTTGAGTACGTTTGCATATGCAGGCAATTTAATGGCGATTTGAAGCTAGATTGTCGTGGCTTGGAAAGGTACAATCCGAAATTTGAGAATGTCTGTATCGTTGCATCTCAACCGCACCTGAGTGACCATCCCGTGTTTAACAAACCTGCATCTCAAATACAGAGTCATTGTTGCTTCTGACACGAAGGTCATAAACAGATAATGAAGGGTCGATTCACAGCAAACCCTTTCGAAGACCTGGCTCTTACACCACGAGATGCCAATAACCTCCTCGACATCGTCAACACGATCGTCCATACCGGTTTTGAGCGATATGAGAACTTCTGGACTGTCGAGAAGGCCAAGGTCAATACTGACAGCAAGTGGAAGCTTATCAAGTCCAAGGAAAACAGTCACGTCTTCTTGGAACAACAGCCTCAGCGTACTTCGGGTGAAGACTGCATTACAGAGTTACCGTCTCTTCTCTGCGTCGGTGCCTCGTCGGGAACGCTCGACGATGTCATGCTTGGTGTAGTCAACCCAACACTTGAGAGTATGCGTGTCAAGGCGTCATACGTCAACGATTTTAGTGCCGCTGCTGTGCTCGCTAACGTCGTAATGCCTTCAAACGAGAACCCGTTCCGCTCCGTAGTGGTCAAGTGGATGGAGCAGGACATCCCGTTCCAGTCCACCGGTCTCGTCCAGAACCGTGACTACGTGTACGTCGAAGCTACCGGCGAGACGGAGACGTTCGACGGTGAACAAGTTGGCTTCCATGTTCTCCACTCTGTCAACTTTCCACAAACTCCTAGTCTACCCAATCGAGTTCGAGCCAATATGTCTATCTGTGGGTTCTTCCGTCAAGTCCGACCGAACCTCGTGAGCGTGTACGTCACGGGCATCATGAATCCTGTCGGCAACGATCGTATTCGTCGTCTCGTCGTCTCAAATATGGCTAACGCGTTCCTCTCAACGCTCAAATATGCTCATTGTGGGCAGATGAAGAAGTTAGCGTGGGCACTGGACTCTGCGTATTCCAAGCTCAAGGTTTTTGGTACGCCAGGCCCAGAACGGATTTGTGTGAGCTGTAGCAAGACCGTGTCGCGACGTGTTGGAGACTTTGGCAAAGGCGGAGATACATGCAAACTCTGCTTTGGACTGGTGTGTAGCACATGCAGACTGCAGAGGAAAATCAGCTTCGTGGGGTCGGACCTTCAACTAGCTCAACGGAAGGTCAACTTTTGTGCTGTGTGCTTGAATGGGACAGTGAAGAACGACGCATGCCATGCCGCAAGAAAGCAGATCCGTTCCGATATTCGTGCTTCCAAGGCCTCTCGAAATATGTCACTCTACTCGGACATGAGCACGGTCACTTCAGATGAACCTCCTGCTGAAGAACCGCCTCGATTCTCGTACGGATTCGTTATTTTCTAAGAGCAGTAATGAGCTAGAACATGGAATACAGAGCGTTCTTTACCCTCCATTACTATATCTGAGATAGCATTACTCTTTGGAGTACAGTGCATATCATTCGAATGCTTCCTCTGGACACTTATAAAAAGAATTCTTGTATGTAGAGGCGCCTATGAAGAACGCAGATCACATGCTGACTCAGGTGCAAGCTCAGTGTTGACCCGTACGGTTTAAACTAAGTGACAGTGGAGAGATACATGTACCTGAGGCTGACGCCAAATAGCAGTCGTGCGCCCCTACCTCAGCTCAGCCGACGGACTAGTCGACAACCTCTATGCCGTTGATCTTATCAGCTATCCGAGCATATTGGATCAACCGATTTTAGCTTCGATTATGCATCAACTATTCTCGTCTTTGGACACGGCTATGTGTGGTTGCGCCGTGGGAAGACGTGGGTCAGATTGATTGTGTGTGGGGGCTGGTTTAACAAGTCTAAAGAGAGCGCAGGTGAGTCCACCGACATGTGTTTAACTTGAGGTGTCACGTTGGCTGCCTCATCCTCAAGAGAGGGAGAGCTTGCAACGAGAGTTCATTCCGTCTTTTGCTTAATCCCTGACAACTCAGTCTCCGGTAATCAAGACACAACTCGCCATGGTGAAAGGCCGCTTCACCATCAACCCTTTCAAGGAGTTAGCACTCACTCCCGGCGACGTCAGCAACCTGCACGAAATTTCCAGCGCGATCCTCGACTCGAATTTGTCGCGATACGAAGAATTTCTTAACGTCGATAAGAGTCGCGTTGATCCCAACCACTGGAAGCTCGTCAAGAGTCGAGACAGCACGAAGGTGTACCAAGAGAAGACGGCAGGCTTCAGTCGCAATGCTGTACCGCTTCCTCAATCTTTCGGATCTTCGTCGGATTTGCCGTCGCTGCTTTGTGTCGGTGTCTCGGTTGGCGACATGGAAGACATGATGTTCGGTGTAGTGAACCCGACGCTAGAGATCATGCGCATCAAGGCCTCGTACGTGGAAGACATTAGTGGTGCCGCGGTGATTGCCAACATTATCGAGCCGACACTTGAGAACCCGTTCAACTCGATGGTCGTCAAGTGGATGGAGATGGATATTCCTCTTCAGTCTGTCGGTCTCGTGAGGAACCGTGACTATATCTACGTCGAAGTGACAGGCTTCGTGCATCTAGAGAACGGCGAGAAAGTCGGCTATCACATTCTCCACTCTGTAAATTTCCCCGAGACTCATGATCTGCCCAATCGCGTCCGAGCGAATCTGTCGATTTGCGGCTTCTTCCGACAAGTTCGACCTAACGCAAGTGAGATCTTCGTTACCGGGTTGATGGACCCTGGTGGTGATATGATCCGCATGTTGGTTGTACCGACGATGGCCAATACCTTCCTTTCCACTCTAAAATATGCCCATTGCGGACAGATGAAGAAGCTGCAGTATATGCTCGGGAAACGATACAACGAAGCCAAGAAACTTGGTACCCCGAATCGGGAACACGTCTGCGTCACTTGCGGTGTTCAGATCACGAACCGAAGACTGGGAGACTTCGGAAAGACCGACGCATCTTGTAAGCTTTGCTTCGGATTCGTGTGCCACAACTGCAAGATCCAAAGGAAGCTGAGCTTCGTGACTCCGGATCTGCTCTTAGCACAACGCAAGGTCACGTTCTGTGCCGTGTGTCTTAACGAAGCGGTTCGTGCTCCTGCTGCGGACGCTGCACGGGCGCAGATTGTCACGTCTGATGGTGGACTGATGAAGAAACACTCGCATTTCCATGGCTCCGAGGCAAGCACAATCTCTGAATACGCATCTAGCTGCGGCTAGATAGACCTACAAGAGGCAGTTTTGTACATGTTTTGAAATGAAAATGTCGATTGTTATATATTAACGACTTTGCATTAAACTTCAACTGTATCTGCATGGTTTACATCAAGTTGAAGTCTAAATAACGTGATCATTCCATACATGTAGCCAGCAGCGTTGTACTGAAAACAAGTTTGATTGTAATTATTTATATCGTCTTGAAGTATTTATTTAATTGTGACCTCCCTACGTGCCTTCTTTGAACTTATCCCTCGATCTGCATTTCGATACCGATTTCGTGAAGGTGGCCATTGTAGGTACCTGACAAGATGGCAATGGCAGCGCTATAATACAAATGCAAACAACTATAAAAACAGCCTTATCGGCACATGTATATGATACTTTAGTGTCAACAAGGGAATCAACAGCGTATGATTAGCTGAGCCGGTCAGTCTAGAAGTTATCCATACGTTTGGTAGAGGCACCAAGGAGCTGACCTCATTGCTCGCATATGGCGTGTAAGTGCCCTACCCGGCCAATACTAACTTTAACTGTCGCCTGTGTAATGTAGTTCGTCCACTTATCAGGTCAGCATACAAGGCAATTGCCTTTTATCTTATCTGCCCAGCCTACCATCCAGAAAAACTGCTACAGTAGATGATGAGTGTCGCGTCGTTTTGCAACGAGTGCATTTTATCGTTAACCTCTCACTTAAGCTTCTTCATTCCTACTCTTGCATTCCTTCCAACACTCGACCAGCTCCAGCAAATATGGTGAAAGGACGATTCACCATCAACCCGTTCCCAGATCTGAAATTGTCTCCTTCCGACACAGGGAACCTGAACGAAATCGCAGGATCTATCCTTGAAGCCAATGTCCAGCGATACGAGGATTTCCTCACGAAAGACAACAAGAGAATCGACCCTGAGCACTGGAAAGTGTTGAAGACCAAGGAGAACACGACAGTGTACACGGCTCGACACCACGATGTCTACCGTGCCGGCACTCACAAGAACCAATGTCATACTGGCCTCCCGTCGTTACTCAGTCTCGGAACGACCGTGGGTTCTTTAGAAGACATGATGTTCGGCGTTGTGAACCCTACGCTGGAAATGATGCGCATCAAGGCTTCATACGTTGATGATCTGAGCGGCGCTGCAGTCCTAGCGAACTTGGAAGAGCCGTCGCTACAGGATCCATTCCGTTCTTTGGTTGTCAAGTGGATGGAGATCGACATCCCTCTCCACACTACCAGCTTGGTTAAGAACCGTGACTATGTCTACGTGGAAGCCACGGGGATGATGAACTTGTCGAGTGGTGAGCGTGTCGGCTATCACGTTTTGCACTCAGTAAATTTCCCTCAGACCCACCAACTCCCAGGCCGAGTCCGTGCCAACATGTCAATCTGTGGCATCTTCCGACAGGTCCGACCTAATGCGATCGAAGTCTTCGTCTCCGGTGTCATGGACCCTGGTGGTGACATGATCCGTGTACTGGTTGTGCCCAGTATCGCTACAGTCTTCCTCTCCACCCTCAAATATGCCCACTGCGGACAGATGAGAAAGCTGTCTTGGATGCTCGAGAAACGCTACACAGAAGCCAAGGAACTCGGCACTCCGAATCGAGAACACGTTTGCGTCACCTGTACAGCGCCGATCACGAACCGAAGGATCGGAGACTTCGGTAAGAGCAGCAGTACGTGTAAACTCTGCTTCGGCTACGTCTGTCACAACTGCAAGATCGAGAGGAAGCTGAGCTTTGTGACCCCGGATCTGCTGCTGGCGCAAAGGAAGGTCACGTTCTGTGCCGTGTGTTTGAACGATGCAATCCGCGAAAATGCCTCCATAGCTGCGAGATCGCAGATCCTTGCCACTGGTGGAGTGGTCAAGTCGTTGCAGAAGCATTCAGCGGCGTCAAATGCATCGACAGTGTCGGGTTATTCATCCTCAACGCATTAGACATCTCGCTTCTTTCTCTAAAAAGTAGTGGCGTTATTCGGATAAATGAGCTGTTCTTAACATGATTTCTGTGTAATTTTAAAAATCCGTAGCGAACTTGCTTGCTGTTGCTTCATCTACGCTGCTATGAGCCTTTAATTCCTATCCAGAATACCGTGACTTTGAGTCAAAGTCACGGTCAAAGTCTTTGACAGTATTTCCCATCATTACAGCAACATTAATGTGCCGCTTGATAATTCCGGCGTCCCAAGAATAGAGCTCTCTTTCGTGGATCAAGCATCAGATAAAGATAGCAGTTGCCGAGGAAAGCTTGTGCCTCGAGCCCTGAGTGGCTCCCACCTCTGCCGACCTCAGCTAAGAGTCAGCTGTCACGTGGTCTTTCCAAATACGTCAGCTTGCATCCACATATGGTATTTAACCCCTCCATCCTTGTGTTCTATTCTTCGTCTCAGCTGCATTATCTATACGACCTTTTCCGATACTAGATCGAGTCCAATCTTGACTCACTCGGCGATTCGCTCAAGCTCAGTCAACCTTCATCTACTGGCTGTGACCAGCTCTCTCAACGATGAAAGGCCGCTTTACCGTGAACCCGTTCAACGAGTTACGTCTAACCCCTTCCGATATCGCCGACCTTGAATCACTCGTCGGGTCCATTCTGGATGCAAACATCTCACGCTTCGAGGAATTTCTCTTCAAGGAGCATTGTCGTATCGACGCGAACCACTGGAAGTTGGTCAAGAGCCGAGACAACACCAAGGTCTATTCGGAACGCAACTTCGGCTCCTCCCGTGTCGGTCCTCAGATCCCCGGTGCGTCAATCGACTTGCCTTCTCTACTGTGCTTCGGTACTGCTGTCGGTGACTTGGAAGACATGATGTTTGGTGTCGTCAACCCGACTTTAGAAGCCATGCGTATCAAGGCCTCGTACGTCGACGATATCAGCGGTGCAGCCGTCTTGTCGACCATTACGGAGCCCTCGATCGAAGAACCTTTCAAGTCTCTAGTCGTTAAGTGGATGGAGTTCGATCTCCCGTTCCAGTCGATGGGTTTGGTGAGGAACCGTGACTACATTTACGCCGAGGCGACGAATATTGTGCACCTCTCGAACGGCGAAAAGGTCGGATACCACATCTTGCACTCTGTCAACTTTCCCGAGACTCACGACCTCCCCGGACGTGTCCGTGCTAACACGTCGATTTGCGGTATTTTCCGTCAAGTGCGTGCCAACGCATGCGAGATCTACGTCACCGGTCTCATGGATCCGGGTGGTGATATGATCCGCAAGCTGATGGTGCCTAACATGGCAACGACGTTCCTGTCGACGCTCAAGTATGCACACTGCGGGCAGATGAAGAAGCTCTCTTGGATGCTAGAGAAGCGATACACTGAAGCCAAAGAGCTGGGCACCCCAAATCGCGAGCTTATCTGCGTGACCTGTGCGTGCCCCATCACTGGTCGCAGACTGGGCGACTTTGGCAAGAGTGATAGTACTTGCAAGCTCTGCTTTGGCCACGCCTGCCACAACTGCAAGATTTCCAAGAAACTAAGCTTTGTGACGCCCGATCTGCTACTGGCCCAACGGAAGGTCACGTTCTGCGCAGTCTGCGTCAATGAAGCGATGAAAGCGCCTGCCACAGAGGCGGCACGAGCACAGATTATCGCTACAGGTGGAGGAGGATACAAGAGCATTCCTTACCCGTCGAATGCATCTACTGCCAGCTCAATCTCCGATAATTCCATGTACTAGTGTCCTGCATGTAAGATAGTGGCAGATCGTTAATCTTTGAATTGAAGATGCTTGTTAGATATTCTGGGTTTTAGTTGGGAGATGTAGCTGCGTCCGAGGTTTTATTTAGTCCAATGCCCAAAGAAGCAGAGGTGATAAGCCTTTGGGACAGCGACAACGGGACGTTAAAATATGTTGATAATACACGCGAATCGCACCGGTATATTCTGCACCGACATGCGACGACAGATAATGGCATTGTGTGATGTTAAAAAAGTGATAACGCTAATATCACAGTTTCATAATTAAAAATAATAATTTAATAATAAAGATTACTTGATATTTCCTCAGAGACTACACCATTTCCCGGCCAAATTCCATTCCCTACTCCCGTAACATTATTATAGAAAAATACATGACAGCGTAACCAATCAGCTTTTGATTTCTCAATTTTTTTTTTGACAGGCGCAACTAGCAAGTCAATCAAATAGCAGAAGCCGACAGCGCGTTTTGACAAGAAAGAGTAGCACAAATTAGTTACAGCGATTCTGAGTTATTGATTGGCATTTAATTCAGTTGGTAAAACTACATCTGATCAATCTAAACGCTAGCAGCCCACAGCACCAAGAAATCTTATCAGACCCTGAGGGTGGTCACCACTGCCACTGTGCCATGACACTTAAAATTGATCCATGGTATGGCATGGTTAGTTATAGGTCAGCCAGAAATGTTATTAGAGATCATACCAACAGGCAAGTAGCACAATACACCTTACCCTAAATTAAGAAGTCCCACCAGTAGTGCGTTGGTGCTCGGATCCATGAGTCGATGCTGGTGGGAGAATTGATTGCAATTTGGGTAGTTTCTACTCTCAAGTCATCAAAACTGTTTGAGAGCCACTTGCATTTTCAAGATCCCTGTGATTCACAATAGTAGACTCGTCATACTAACTCGCAGCACTTTACAATGCAAAGATAGCTCCATCCCACAACACTTTAGAATAACATCGTTTAAAGAGTTCTACGTGACAAGGCTTCGTTCTAAGATCTGTAACGTGTTTTTATTTTCTGATGACACTCAAACAGGTAAATAAAAGACCATTCAGCATCAGCTCAAAGGACGATTGGAATTACCGTTAGCCTTCAGGCCTCAAAACGGCTGAAACAACAATGACCACATCAGAGCGCAAGACTGGCGGAAACAGCTACCTTGATATGGCAAACCTAGCATCAATATTGAAAGCATAAAGCCTCTAACTACGATCCAGTTGCCATCGACCCTTTTTTTTTTCGTAAAGCAAAGAGACAACATTAGTAACTAGAAAACAATATGTTTCCATCATTTCTCTCCTTCTCATCTATGCGAGGCAAATAAAGATAAAAACTCGTATATTAGCTCCTGCAATTAGGACCGTCATTGTCAGAACCGAAAATGGCGGATTTTCTTTCGACGAGGATACGTGGGAGCCCCGTGTGACATGCCAGCTTGAACGAGGAGAACAGCTCAAACGACCACGCGAGCGTGATCGAGACCGACGAATTGAGCGACCACGCGAACAAGATCGAGATCGGTGACTGAGCGGCCGCGCGAATGAGACTGAGCTCGACGCCAAGAATCTTCGCGTGAAGAGCGTCGGCGCAAGCCGGCGCGACTAGAGGCGCGCACGCTCTCAGCCAACGAGCGGTGATACTTCTCGATCCACCGGTGTTCTTGTTCACCGAGCGGATACTCGGCGACGTGGCTTCTCTACTCCTCGACAGTCGGGCGCGGCCCGGTACAAATTATTTATCCTTCAGCGACCCTCACGTAACAGATACGGCGCATGTCCTCCCATGCGCTGGTGCAGCCGATCTCACGAAGCTCTGTGAGTGAGTGCTCCTCGACGATCTCCTCGCGGTATACCAGCCCGCCGACAACTCTTCCCCCTTCTTCTTGCGTCCAGCTCCAGCGCCCGATGAAAGTGCACCACGACTCCTGCAACACGCCATATGCGACACCCTCGAAAGGCTTCTGCCGCAGTCCACGCAAGCGCCGGAAGGTGTCCTTTGTCGTGTCCAGTGTGTCCGGAGCCCGCGCTTCGGGTATATCGTAGAGAGCCCATGCCCGGAGCCGGTCGTCCATCATGCGCGTGCCACGTACCGCTGCTGTTGTCCCTGCTGTCGACGACGTCGCCGTCGTCGGTGTTCCTGTCCGCTGCTGATCCATCGTGCTGCTTGTCAAATTCTCCGCAAGATGAGTTGTGTCACGGCTGCGCTTGGCAGGAGATTTCTCCGCCCCCGATTTGCTCCGCCCGTTAGCCAAGTCCCCGTTCGCCATCCTCACATAGCTTGATTTGTTCTTCGCCCGTTGCTTATGTTGCGTAAGTGCGACTTTAAGAGGGGGGTACTGTAGTGGGCCCCTCCATTACATAAGTAGGTAGATTTCCTTACATAAGTAGGTGCACCAGCAAACGACTAGCGTGTTCTGAAATGCTGTCGTGACATTGGCTGTTATATAGTGAGCCAGGCCCATTACTAGCCAATTAGACTATGACGTGTATTTGAGTGGCTAGGGCTGTGGCCTTGGACCTAAATAAAGTCAGTTGTTTTTTCCTCAAACCTAAGACTCATTCGTCCTATTTCGAGGTCCCTCAAGACTATAGTGTAAGCAAGTAACGGAGTAAATACGTGGCCCGTTACAGTTGGTGATTGGATGACCTAGGTAGTGAGGACAGTGTAAGCTCCGATAATTCAAACACTTCGGAATCTCCTTCTTCCCCTCAAGTGTCTTCGGTCCGGTCTTCTCCCCGAGTGGCTACCCTTTCCTAATCCGTACAAACCAAGACACGCGACATCTATCACCCCCGCACAGTTTTGACCTGGTTAAAGTATTGAGTCTTGATTTTGAGCCATTTACTCTTTTAAGTTTTTTTAAAGTCGTAAGATACGACGTTAAAAACGGAGGGGTTAAACTGGAATGGTTCTTAAAGGACCACTCCAGTTTTGTCCATGGAACGTAACATCGGTACATGAATTTCGTGGGCTCTACCTGTAAAGGGCCTACTTTAAGCCCACTACTTCGGCTTACACGTTAGCGCACATGTATGCGGAAGCGTAAGGTGGGTTTCACTTAGATTAACTATACTTTCGTCCTAAGGATACAATTACTTAAATAGGGAATCGAAGCGGGTTTCAGGTAGAAATACGATCTGTTTATTTGGTTGTTTGGGCTTTCCTCCTAATCTAGTATTCTAAATGAAAGTATTTATCAACGAATGGTTGACAAAGTTCTACTATTCTAATTGGTTGAAGATATTGACTTTCCGACCTAAATGCATGCAGAGCAACAGTCTACCAAATACAACCATTGGTGTATCGCACACCAGCGTGTAAAACCATTTTAGTAGCCAAATGGATATGTATAGCCATTTGCGTGTAGCCCCCCCCCCGGTAAAGCTAATACTCTCTAGTCTTAACACTCCCCAAAGTATTGACGAGGCTGTCAAAACGTTTGAGAAATCCGAGCTCATTTCGCAATGAGCTCGCCGAGGAAGACGCCTGCACAAGAGTCTGCACCGGCAGAGTCTGTTTCGTCGGTGGCTGAACCTGCAAAAAACAATAACAGCGTCCGTGCAAGCGAGCACGCCCGCGGCAGAAGGTAATCTACGTGTAACTCAATATCACGCTATGCTTAAGTAAACGCGCGCATTAGTGACGACTGACAAGACGTCAGTCGTCATGAAGGGCTAATCAGGATGGTGACATATCCATTGACTACGGGTCTGACATTGAATACCTCGCCTTCTTCTGTCGACTCTAAGTCGTCCGAACCAACGCCCGACCCCCTGTTGAGTCGCAGCGTGGCCGGGACGATGTTCCGGACGCTCCTGATTCGAATTGTTCGTGTCCTGAAGAAGTGGCGTAGCCACATGTGATATTTCCGCCTTTTTCCCGCGTACTACACCTGCAATACACGTTCTCTGGATGCCAACTGCATCCGGGATCGATGACAGGTTCGGCGCGACATCGCCGCCGAACCCATTTTGATTGTACGTGTGCAGCGCCATCAATGATGACGCTGTGGCCGTCGACATGCACTTTGATCCGTTAGCGGATCAAAGGCGCGACTACTACATCTGACACCTCCATAAGTTCCGATGGAATGCGTCGAAGAAAACTTCGCGCAAAAGCACAGTGTGACACTTTGTCATTTTGGAAGTCATTTGTTGTGCGCTTCAACAACAATGCGAAAGGCTACCACGAGCGTATTGTCGCGGCTCGCCAGCGTTTCGTGGTCTTCTCGAAGCGTCATCCCATCGATCGCCTCCATAATGACGCTATGGAGGCGGGAATTGCCTGCCTGAAACTGCGTGCTCCTTTCTGAAGACGATGCTCTCGGGTACACTTTCGTACGTGTACCGGCTCCTCTGCCAGACCTCCGTGGTCAACTTGAGCACCGTGATGCACCCTGCTGATGATACTCGCCGTTTTAGTGCAGACAGTATGCCTGTACTTGGTGCTGGGCCTCATACACCCGCACCATTTCCGTAATGTCCTTCATCAGGACGTTCCGTGGATCCCATGTATCTCGATGGGAAGATAGTCTTCTCCAGCGAAAACGGAGGCGAGCCGGATCTCGGTTCGCCTTCAGGGCTTCATAGTCCACGACCCGCTCGACAATCCAACGTGTCGATCCGTGCGCGTCACGCCGCGGCGGCGGCGGGGCGGAAAGATACCTTCAGTATGGGCAACCCCAGGTTTACTATGGCTCTCGCGCTCTACACGATCGTGGCGTCACCCAGGAACGACCCCAGAGCGCGGAGCTCACTGCCCTGCTATGGGAGCTGCGCCTACAGAAGGCGTATGTCACTGCGGCTGCTCAGACTGATTCGAACATCCAAGTCGCACTTGGATCGGAGCTGGGACGCCTGCGCGACCGCGTCGTCGCGCTTGAGAATCCGGCTCACGCCGCTTTGTCGCCATCGAGCCATCGAGACTAGTCGGCCTGCGTCGCTCTTAAGGCCCGATTCGCCCGACGTAAAATGTCGGGGATGAAGGCGCATGCTAGACGGTATGTCCAGCGTATAAGCGTCGTCATGGCGTA